TGTTCTCTTGGGAAGTGAAAGGAAATACAATTTCCAGGCAGAATCTCCATGTTAAGAATCTCTAAACACACGGAAAATACAGTGTGCAACTAAAAGAAGCATCCATATCCTTTGATTTCTTGAGGCATATTGCAAGATAACTTAGAACACTTGTTTTTTGAACTATCTGCTAAATGACTTGTGACAGAACAAGTCCAGTGATTGAGATACACCACTGAAACAAAAGCTGAATCTCCCTCCGCCTCCCGTCACAGCTCTAAATCCCTACAAACTCTGGAAGTCAATTTGGGACAGTTCCATGAAGGTTTTACTTACTGAGTTACTTCCGGGTACGGTTTTAACCCCAATTACCCCTCATTTACTTGGGCTGCAAAAGGAGAACCAAGTCTAGCTTGGCTTCACAGACTGCTTCTTTGTTAACTGCTATTACCTGATCCCAAATCCCTCGCAGATCATCTCTTGACATTGGGAATAAAGTTGGGCAGGTTTGTTCAATGGACAATTCATTACGATACTTTCTGCCACACAGATCTAAAAAGAGGAGGAAACTCTTCTTCTTTCACCAATTTTTCATCCTTCCTGCTGCTGTAAGTACATTAACAACAGTGAGACAATCAGGACTCCTTACACATGTAAGTACTTACAGAAGTCTTTGGTTCTTGCTCTCCTGCCAACTATTCCATTTTGACCAGGACTGATGGCAGAGTTTTCTCCCCCCTTGTTCACACTCCAGACCAGCACGATAGGAATGGTCTTGTGATTTGAGACAAAAATTCTTGTTAGAAGGGGCTCCTGGTCTGACAGTGGGAGACAGCACCAAGGAGCACCCTTCTGGCATGGTGAGAATGGAAAATGACTGTCGAGGCAAGTAAGGTCCCCTCTTGGCTTGGACTGTGTTGCAACCACAGCATCACCCACCAAGTGCTCTAGAGAAGGTGGAGGTAAAGGAGAAACAAAAGATGATTCTGATTGCAGAGGTAGAACAAATGACTTTTTTTTTTTTTTGGGAGACAGCACCAAGGAGCACCCTTCTGGCATGGTGAGAATGGAAAATGACTGTCGAGGCAAGTAAGGTCCCCTCTTGGCTTGGACTGTGTTGCAACCACAGCATCACCCACCAAGTGCTCTAGAGAAGGTGGAGGTAAAGGAGAAACAAAAGATGATTCTGATTGCAGAGGTAGAACAAATGACTTTTTTTTTTTTTTCCCTGAAAGAAAAGATTCCAACCCACTCCAGAAGCATCAGATGTGCTGTTCTGGGTCAAGAAAGGTACCAAGATAGATTTCAGCATGCCATCTTCTTCTTCCCAAGCCATAGGGGACACAACCAGCTGGAAAGGACTTTTTACAGGATAATTCCACTAACCAGCCAAGCTTCCAGGTCTCTTCCAAAATCCCAGGAATTTTTGAACCCGGGGGGTTACGTGAAAGCAGATCATCTCACTGGATGAGGTTTGGGCATACCCAGAACTGCCCGGGGAAGAATTTCCAAATGAGCAGGGTATTGGGCAAAGATGCTCTCAAAGCTGCCGTTACATCTGTGTTGATTGCCTCATCCAAATCCAGCAGGTACTTATCTTTATGCCTCTAGGTCTTGGAGGAGGTTGATTTCCCTTTGTGCTGGGATACTCGAGTCCTGGGCTGTGTCCCCAGCTCAGATTCACTGTTTCTTAGGGAAATTTATTTAAGCTCCACACAGACCTAATTTGTACAATGAGAGTAATTCTGATTTACTTCACAAGGAGGGTGGAAGGATTAATTAACAATTGTGAAGCACTACAGAAGTGCTAAACATTATTAATGGCTCCCAAGTTTTCTTCTTTTGGAAACAGTGGCTATTTCTTCCCATAATGTTTTAAACAGTTGCTGCTCAAGGAGCTTAGATTGCAGATTCCTGGCCTGTGGTTTGTCCATAAATCATAGACCTGGAGCCTACCCAAGACACTCTCGATAGTCTCAGCAGGGAGTCTGGATGAGAAAAAACTCTGTTCTCAATCAGGCCCAGTGAACTACTTTATGGGCTGGTCCAGTATCAAGGTCCTGAGCCAGACGTGAGAGGGCTTCTGTCCAAGTTTAAAAGCACGAGGTCTCAGGAATGTCCTTTCCAACTGGATTTCACTGCCTATAAATATTTTCCATCTTCTGCCCTGGAGGATATAGGTTTGACTCCACAGCTGATGAGCCTGCGCAGAGCAGGAAAGAAGGCCACCTGTTTATCACCAACAGTTTGTCAGCACACAAGTTTATCTTGTAGAAAAATGAACAAACCCCCACCAAAACACAAGAAAAAGAGACAGGCAGCAGTTAATAAGGCCCCAGTAAAAATACAACCTGATAAATCTATTTTCTGCACAAAGTGGGATTTCGCATTGCTTATAACCAGGAAACCAAATAAGCTCCACGAGATTCTTCCAGGTTAGAGATCCCAAATTCCATCCTATAGGGAATAGGGGAAAGCTGGTAGAGAAAATGCAGAAGTAGAGGACACTTCACGGTGCCATTCCCACACATTGCACAGTTTTGGAACTCTTGGTTCACCTCAATATGCTAGAAGAATCAGGGGGCACTACTCTCGCTGCAGGGAAAGCACAAGCCAGATGGAAACTGGTTAGTGATACAGCGCGTTTGAGGATGAGTAATTTAGTACCTGAGTGGAGGATGGGAGCTGGAAGAGCACAACTGCAGCTTCACCACTGCAAACAGCACTTAGGTTCTGATGCAAGATCCATACAAACCTTCTCTGCTTGCACAGCTTGTATTGGGGTTGTGCAGAAAGTGGACAACCAGGCTCTCACTCACTTCCCATGCCTCCCTTTCACTGTCCCACTTCAGCTCATCCTTTACACTGCTCTTTACTGAGGAGCCTCTGTTGCATTCCATGTGGAGGCCATTTCAGAGCCAAAGGCATCTACAGCCTAGCTTTCGAGACACTCGCCTCCATTCCTACCAGCGCTTCAGCTTGTTCAATGATGCCACCCATCTCCCTTTCCCGTTAGGATCTGCTCTGTTAGCCATGCACGTTTTCCAACACCAGCCCTCTGCAGGTCTTTGCAAAGTGAAAGGGAAAGCTGCGTCTGAGAAGGGAGGACCTGGAGAGGCGGCTGGTGCACAAAAGGATCAACCTTAGACAAAGCATCAGACAAAGCAGCGGGATCAAGTATGCAAGATTTGGCTCAAAACACCTTCCTGATCCTGCTGCTACTGCTCTTTGCTGCATATGGGCTCCCAGGACTTCCACCACCTCTCACCGTGTTCGATGGAGCAGTGACAAAGGGTAGCTTTGCACTCCAGTAACAGAAATCTTCTTTGACCTTCTAGTCACAAATCTCTCATGGCAAAGTTAGCACCTGTGGGGCTGCTGGGATTCCCAGAGGATTCCCAGGACTGGAGAGGTTAAAGATGTGTCAGCCAGTTCACGACCGTCTCACAGTAAGCTCGCTCCGCTTCTCACTGCATCAGATTTTATAAACTAGCATCCAGCTTCAGGCATTCTATCAACAGATGCTATTTTTAGGCACCTTGTCAGGGAACACCAGGAGACCAGCCCGCCACAGGCTAACACACTCACCTGCTATACTGTTGGCATCAGAAAATCACCAAAGGTTTCAGTTTCTTCCGTCTGTGTTCATGGAACGCCCTGCACTGTGAAGTGGCCACACTGTACTGCTCCTTCCCAGTGTCCTCCAAGGCTCTGTACATCTGTGTACAGCATCTAGTCATTTTTTTCTGCATATTTAGGTAAATTTTGATGGCAAAGCATCTTACATCTACCTAGCAGACAGGAATGCTGCCCAGGCTCCAAAGTGTACAGCTGAACTCCACAAAAGCCATCTACTTCCAGGAGCAAAACCTTATGCATGTTTACCTGTGCCAGCTTAGCTGCCGGCTTACTCTTCTGACCTTGAGTATGGACCATTTAAGGCTATTTCAGGATTGCACAATCAAGGAATCCCAGCATAATCACAAGATGTCATCTTACCAGGAGCTGGTAAGACTTGTGGCCTCTAGCTGGGCTACACAGCTACCCTAGGCGTGAAGGTGGCTCCTTGTTCTTCTCAACACACTAAACTGTCACGTGAGTTCCTCTTCTGCATCTGAATAAAAAGACATTTTAGGTGATGTTAATAGAACTTCTAAAAATGGTACCCCACGCAGCAGACCCATTTCATTCCTCTTTGCACAGCCAGGCTTCCTTTAGCTTCAAGAGCTGGAGGTTGCCTGTCCAGCAGAGCATCGCTATCCAAATCCACTTCCAGAATCTTAATCTGCCCATTTAAAGATGAGATAAGCAAATATCACAGCTGCCTCAGGGCCCCCACTGAGCAGGAGAAAGAATTCTTGTAAACCAGTTTCTGCGGTGTAAACATGAAGGAAACCTAGCGTGGCGTTTTCTGTCACAAATGTCTCCTGTTGAACGGCTACGGCTCCTCAGGGTTCAAAGGGCTAAACTCCATTTTCAAAGACAAGGCTAACAGGGTTCATAGCTGCAGATCCTCCCGTTTTCCCTCCACGCTCTCTGCTACTCCCTACTGTTTTCACAGCTTCCTGCCCTGAAGAACCAAGCAGCATCTGAAGAGAGAAGAACCAACATATCACCAGCTGGAAGACACAAAGACCAAGAGAGGTCTGGAAAAGAAGACTTTATTTATCATAAACACAGATCAGCTAGACATGCAGCTTTATCCCACAGAAGAGGCAAAAATGCTGGAAACTCTCCAGAAAGCCACATGCTGGGAAGCTGTTTCCCAGTTACTTCCCTTTCTCCACAGCAAGATTAGGACGAACTCAACTAGCCAGAAGCTCGGTGATCTTCACTGCCGTGGGATTGTACTGACACGTTCCCCCAGCAGTATCCGTGTCTGCTAACGGCAGCAATCTACCTCCATGCCAGCTAACTCCTCCCGCCCGGTCAGAGGTGGAGGAGTTTTAACAAACTCATTAATTCTGCCAGTGCTTGTTCAGAGCACAGTGGTGCACAGGGAATCGTTCTTCAGTGGATGGGGGTGTATTCACAGACCTAACTGGGAATCTTGCTGTTCTGGAAAAGACCATTTCTTGAAACAGCATGAAATAAGGCTCTCTAAGCTTGTGTCAGAAATTTGTGCATACTGTTTTAGCAGCAACCTCTGGATTTTGTTCCCAATACGAACACCGCACTTTGAACAGGTTGATGACATATGATCTAAGAATTACAACTGGCTCCTCCTGTGCAGTGAGGGATGGAAGTCCCCTGCCTTCCCCCTGGCCCTCTGCCCTGTGAAGCCCTCGCTGCACAGTGCCTGCAAGTAGATGCTGCAATAGCTGACAGAGTGACTGCACGTGAGGAAAGGGATATCAGCACAGAGTTCATCCCTCCATCTTCTGGGGCTCAGTTCTTCTCCAGGATTCTGGTGAGGAGTTTGTTCAGCCGGTTCACCATTGGTCTGGGATCCTCATTCAGTCCTGCTGCTATCATGGCATTCTCATAAATCTGAAAAAGAGAAGAAAGCATTAAATAAGCAGCAAGAGCGAGCTGGATGGAGCTATGGAGGAAGTGAATGTCACTCTCCAGACCTGCACGCTGAGACCAAGCATGTCTTCTAGGCCATCAGGTAGGAAAACACATGGACCACAAGTACTAGAAATACCCAGAGTGGGGACCACAGAAGGATGTGAGTCTTGCCCGCTACAAGGGCTTCACCCTGGTCCCTGCCACACATGGTCTGCAAGCTGGCTCGGGAGGATGGTGCTGCTTCTGGAGAAGCCTGGCTCTCACCTGATCAAGCAACAGCTGGGCCAGATCAGGCTGACTGTCCTTCAGCTCGTTAAGCTTCTTAATCAGAGCATGCCTGTAAGAGCGAGAGAGATCTTCACTGAGACTTGGTATTCTTGGTCACAAAGAGAAATTTATTTCCAGCATGAGTAGCTAAGCCAAGGTGGGACAGAAAAGGTCCAAAAAAAGGACCAAAATAGTGCCAACTTCCACCCTTCTGCTCTGGGAGCTTCTCTCTTCTCACCCATCCTGACCCTGTAACCCCCATGGTCCTCAGAGGGCTGGACGTACGGCAGGTGGGTGGCTCATACTGACTGTGCCATGCAGCCTCACAGGTGAAGGCGCTGTAGCACATGCTGCACTTCATGGGGAGGCCTCTGCTAATTGGAAGCATGACATTGTCCCCTCTCTTCCTCCACCCCAGAAAGCCTGCAGTGCCCTGGGCACTGGTACTGCTTCCCCTTACCCCGTGTTGATCTCCAGGGTGGGCTGCAGGAGCTGGGCACGCTCCTCTTGGGTCTTGGCCAGCTGCTGCATGCGAAGAAAGTGGCGGGCAGCCCCCATCTCAAGCACAGTGATCATAGCAGGGTGGGTGTCCAGCCGTGTAGTCACCTGTGGAAAAAGGTGGAGATGGAAAACGAGCCAAGGACTCAGCGTCTCCTCAGCACAGACCCATACCAACACCCCCGGCCACCCATTTTATCCTGATTGCAGAGTAGCTGCCTAAACCATCAGGAAAGCTGGGGCCCAAATGGTCCCATGGGCCCACAGGCAGTAGCTGACAGCTGGACCCAAAGCATTCCTTGCCAATAAACCTCTCTAGTCTGGAGGCGAGACACTCACCAGCCTGTTCTGGTAACCTGAGCAGGAACTAGTAAAATGGGCTTTGCTCATGACACGTTAAGAAGTGGTTCCTCTGCTGCCATGCTGACCAAATGACAAATGCCAGCATTTGCACCATTCACAGAAAGGAGGCACATAGAAGAATGATTACTCTCAGGGTCCAAAGAAAAATCTGTGGCAGCAGATCCCCAGTCAATCACCACCTTTCTTCCTTCCGACTATTACCTCCACAGATCTCCTGGACTCAGTTGCCCAGGCACAGAATACCCACCTTAACACCAGTGACTCGAGAGCCCAAGGCATTTCTCATCCAGGCCATCAGGTCCTCAGCCTCTTTCTCTGTCAGACGTTCTGCAGCTGGCAGGGGAGACAGGGCACAGGTAAGCAGGCATCTTCACTGTGCCAATGGGCAGTGAGATCTGCTCCTGAGCTCAGGCCATTTCATACTGCCATTTATCTCCTCTCATGGAAATGGGAAGGCAGCACCGCGCAGCACACGCCTACACACACGCCACACCCAGAGAGGGCAGGCTCATGCCCTGCTCATGCCTGCCTGCCTCTGTCAGGGCACCGGGTGTATGCGTGCTGTTAAAACTCCCATCATGGAAACTCCACATGGGACATTCCATCTGTTTAAATTAGCAAATTGCTTAAACTCAGATCACGTGGGATGAAAGGGATCTGCAAGGCACCTCGGAGTATGAGAATGGCAGGCTCTTGCTCAGAGGCTCAGGAGGTGTACCCTCACTGGCTGGCACAGGGCGGCAGGACTGCCTACAGCAGGAGGGACCAGGGGAGCCCCAAGATACCTGGGTGGCTCTCCTCAAACTTCTCTTCCTTGTAGTGATCAACAACGATATCTGTCTCCACCGAGATCAACTTCTTCTTGTCAAACTCCCGAAGGTGCAAGAGTGTCAGCTCATCAAACTGCTCATAGCAGAACAGGACCTGTGCCAAAAAAGAGACAATGACACATTGTTTGGGCTGTAACAGCACTTCCTCCTTCCAGAGGCAACTCCGCACCAAAGAGCAAGAACATCACGAGGGAAACTAGCAGGTTCAGCCCCACAGTGACTATCACTCAGGGCCCCAGATGAAAGCAAATCCTTGGAGGGCTTTGTACCATGGGTGGCAGGTCTGCAGCTGAACAAGTCCGGCTGCCCCATGGCAAGTGAGAACCAGCACTGGCTCCAGTTCTGAAAGGGCCACCTGCCCACAGAGGACACCTGTAGCACCATGACCAGCCCTGCACAGCAGCTCCCAGGCTCCTGCTCTGGGGTTCAGGAAAGGAATTAAACAGATGCTAGAGCTAGGCGTCCCCACAAGCACTAACCCGCCTGCACAAAGCATGTGACAAGTCCTTCCTCACCTCACGCTGCAGTAGCCAGTCTGAGTGGAGACAGAGGGAGCCTGGGCAAAGACACTGCAGCGGCCGCAGCCTATCGCAGGCCTTGCTGCCCTGCTCAGCTCTGAGATCCAGGTGAGCCCTGACCACTGACGCTCAGGGTGTTCCCCTGACCACAGCATGCCGCTCACTCACCTCCATGTCCTTCTTCTTCATGGCCTCAAAGTATGGGGAGTGCTCAGCCAGGTGCCGGTTGGGCGCACACAGGTAGTAGATGTTTCTGCTCCCTGCCTTCATGCGGGAGGCGTAGTCGGTCAGGCTGGTCAGCTGGCCCGCAGGCAGGGCAGACGATTCATAACGCAGCAACTTCGCTATGTCCTCCTGGAAGAAATGTGCTTCTGTGAGCTGAGGGCAGGTGACCATAGCTCTACCTGACCACTCCCAGCCCCAGGACACCTCTCTGTAGCACGCAGGCTTGTTTGCAGCCCTGCAAAAAGGCTCACAGGATTCCAAGTCCCTCCTTTCCTGCTCCATATATTAAGGAGGCAGAAAAGTGATCTAGACAGGATGTAGGTCACACTCTCCTGCAAACGGAGATCCAGGCAGAGGACAGCAGTAGGGAGAAAGCCCTACTTCATTGCCTGCTGTAGTTCATATTATATCAGGGAGGGTTGACAACACAGTGGGGGTACCAAGACTGGGCAGTGTCTCAAATTAAGCAGCACCCAGTCAGAAAAAGTGAGAGTTAAGGCACTAGAGAACAGGTAGGTCTTGTTAGACCCAGGAACACAAGGTACAGGTGTGGAAGTCATACAGAAGTAAGATCCCCCCTCATCCCAGCTCACAGTAGAAGCCAATACTCTTTACAGTGCTCTGGGACTCCTGGTACCTTGACATCCTGCTCTGCTATAGTGACAATGCCCTCTCTCATGAATACCCCGTAGTCCTCAAAGAATTTGGCATATTTCTCAGGGTCCTTCTTGCTTTGGTCAATGAAGAATTTGATCAACCTCTTCTGCAAAACATCTCGGAGCTTCCTGCAGCAGGAACAAGCCTTTTTAAAGAAAGCTGCTAGACCAAGACAAGAGATTTTAGGTGAACATATCTCTCCCTGTGTGATGCATTTGCAAACACAAGGACACAGAAGAAACTCTGGGAGCACTGTCTCCTTTCCCTCACGGCTCTACATCTGCTCTTCGTATCTCAGTCAAAGAGCAGCCCTTGAGCTGGAGCTCTGGTACTAATGTGCTGAAGCTCAAATCTTCAGAAAGTCATGACTCAGTGATGCTGCAGTACATAACTACTGCACACAGAGCATCTGCCTCGCTCCCACAGCTACCTTTAAACATGGGAAGGGAGCGGCTATGAAAGGGTTACACTTGGACGAACCCTTTCTGAAGGCCTGAAAGCCCACTGAGAAGTGACAGGGTTCACTTGGCGACTATAGCGAAGGTAGAGGCCTTTCACCAGCTGTGCAATACAAAGTGTAGAATACAAAGATAACAGTGCTAGAGCTAAGGAGGAAGAGCCTACTCTTATACTTCTTCAAGTTCCAACAATGGCAGATGTTTGAGAGGGCACTTGAAGAACAAAAAGTAAGGAAAAACCAAAGCCAGATCTACGGGGTTCTTAAAGGAGTCTGGCCTGCCAGCAGTCGGCTCTGCTGGGCCTCAGCACCAAAGAAAAGCCCTGCTGGCACTCCGTCTTTGACACAAGTGTGGGAGCACAGCAGAGCTCTGAAGGAAGCCGGGCACCAGAGGCACAAGGTGCCATCCGAAGATCTACAAGTGAATAACGGTGCCACTGAAGTACGGCCCAGGTGGCTAGTACTGACAGCTGACTGACTGTTTGGGTTTGGTTTCCAAACCACTCGGTAGTGCCATCCAGACACTTCAAATAGCAAATCCACTGTTCCTGCTGTAGACCGGAGACCACAGAAGACAGCCTAGGACATGAGGGGGATGTGGCCCAGGCAGGCAGCAGACGGTATGACATAGGACGCTGCTCCTACATCTCAAGGTGTGACCAGCGGGCTGGGAAACAACTGACTTTATAGATTACAGAAACTCCCAAGGATGGAAATGCTGCAGCTTATGTGCCAGGTCCCTCCAAGGCCCTCTAACTATCCCACAACATTCTCTCCTCAACCAGAAGCAGCCAGGAGGGCCTCAGCATCCACAGCCTCTACCTCTTGCTTACCTGATAAGGGCACTCTCCTGCAGCAGCTCCCTGCTGAGGTTCAGGGGGATATCCTCACTGTCCACAACACCTGGAACACAGAGCAATCCTTGAACAGTGAGGCACACAAGTGCCAGGCTCAGGAAGGAAATCCCTTGCCTCCTGCTCTGTGGAAGCCATAGTCCACAGCTATTCCTGGTCCCAACACACACCTCTAAGAAAGCGCAGCCATTTGGGTAGGATGTCTGCAGCTTTGGTTTGGATAAGAATCTTGCGGCTGTAGAGGGCAACACTGGAGCCCAGTTCCCTGCTGATGTCAAACATGGATGGTTTCTGCAGGAACAAGAGACAGAGGGTAACACCAGCACCATGCCCAGCTGCACACTGTACTGCACTGTCAGCTGACCAAGCCACTCTGTGATCTTCTCTACCAGCACTGAACCCAATGAGAACTGAAATCTTGGCTGACTTCCCTACGGACCTAGCAGATCCATCTCTCTGCTCCTGTCGTGGCTCAGTACCCCCCCAGCTACCCTGCAGCACCCAGCCCACTGCAGAGATTCCACACTGGATATTCCTCCTTGCAATTCTGCAGCCTTAGCTGTCTCCTTCCCTAAGGAGCGCTCCTATTCTCTTCAGAGCCACTGGCAAATGTCCCACTGTTCCCTGGACAGAGGGCACGTACTTGCTCAGGCACGTAGAAGATGCTGCGGATGTTGAGGGGTGCGTCGGTCTTGTAGTGCAGGACATAGCGGGGCTTGTCGTAAGCCTGCGCTATGAAGCGATAGAACTCCTCGTGCTGCCACTCGCCAATGTCCCTGGGGTCCAGCATCCAGAGCGCCTGTGGAGGAACAAGGAGATGATCTCCCACCAGCGCTCAATACCTGCGGCCTCACAGTGCAGGGCTCTTCTTTCCAGTTACAGTATCCCTCCAGGGCACTGGAGCAAGGAAATCCTCTGCAGAGCCTGAGGGCAGCGGGATGTATCGTAGTTCAGGCAGGACTGGCACACTACTGCCCCTCAGCTGATCTTGGGTCACCTCCCACAGAGGCAGGCTTACCCTGCAACATCTATAAGGCCGCTTAGTAGAGCCGAAAGCAAAAGGGAGTTGGCCAACATCCATCACCTCACACCTGCTACTGGCCAGGGGCATCTTGGACAGCTACCGCAGCTCAGCTGACTGGCAGTACTGGTCCAGTATCTCAAAGCCTGACCAGCAAGCAAAAGTAAAGTGAAAGTTTAAGGGGGTGTGTTGTGATGGGCCTGCCTCCCTGATGGAGGCTGCTGTCCCACCACACGGTCAGCTGAGTGCTCGTGATGTGAGTTCTGGATTGTCTGTTTTCTGCTGCTTTATTCTGGAACGGTTCAGACGATGCTTTGTGACCACCCGGCCACCCCCGCTGCCGGTCAGAGTGCTTCAGCAGTGCCATTTCACACGTCAGCACGTGAGTTCAAGTTGTGAGCTCCAGACCAGGTCCTTCCCAGTGGCCACCCTTTCCACCTGCTGCTGCTCTGAACCCTGCAGTGCTTTCTGGAGCCTTCAGCCCATGCTCACATCACACTTAAGTTTTCATCATTTCAGCACAAAACTAGCATCTAGCAAAGACACAGGAGGTTCTTCCTGAGGCATGGGGACTCAGCAAGAATCTCATGCTTCCAGCCAGGTGAAGCCCATGACACTCTCTGCCACTCGAGCCCTAATGAGTGACAAGTCATTGCTGGGGGCAATACAAGCATCCAGCCCATCTTCCACATACCAGTCCAAGGGATTCAGGGGTCTGGCCACCCTTCCATGCTGCCATCCTCCTTAAAGCTTTTTCTGCCTCAAAGCCTCGTCCCCACAAGTGGCTTCATAACATTTCCAGCACACGCAAGTGTTCTGGAGGGGTTTGTATGATCCCAGGTAGGATTACGGACTCAACTGGATACCAAGGTGCTTTATAGCAGCTGTTAGGCGAAGTGCTGCTTTCCCAAAGGCTTACTTGTAGCTAGTTATCACAGTCAGACTGGAAATGCCCCTCACTCCACACGGTCAGCTATGTGGCAAGCAGTCGAGAGCTTATCTAGGAAAATCCACACCAGGGGTCTAACTGTGTCTCTGTTTACAGTGAACTGATGTTGATGTGTGGAAAAAATGCAAAAACAAGATCCTGGATAAAGAAAAGGCCTGAAATGGGAGCATAATAAGAATAAAGCTGCTACTGTATTCCAAGGGGAAACAGACTTCCTGATAAGATAAAAGTACATGACTCTATTAAGGGCGTTTCACCCCTTGCTCTAGTACTACTCTTCTCTAGGGAGTCTGTTCTATTGATTGTCAGGCAGAAAGAGCAAACAGCTGTCTGAATCTAGTTCTGGGTTTCTAATTTAAAGGAAACAGCTAGAAAGCCTTTGGAACAGAAAAACTACTATGAAGGAATCCAAATAAATATCAGTGACTAATAACACCTATTACAGAACTTAGATAAATTAACATGATAAAATATTTAAGTACAGTCTTGAAAGCCTGTGCATTCAGTGCCACATTCCAGGAAACAAAAAAAGCCCACACACTGCTCTCTACCTGCTCTCTTAGGTGAGGAAGCTTTAACCAAGCAGAAAAGGAGATGCTAGAAAAGAATGATTCATAGATTTTTGTTTTAAAGATAATTCCTTTCACCTAGGTGATTCCTGCAACTGGGCCAAGAACTTCTGACTGAATGGATCTGGTTGCTATGCAATTTTTTAGTGGTCAGAAAATGCCAGCGTCAAGCAGTGCTCAGCTACGAGCTGTGCAGAGAATCAGGCTGTGAGCTGAGCCACTAAACAAACCAGCCCCTCACTGGCACTGGCTACCCCACGCTGAAGGACAGAGAGAACTGCAGCAAGAGGTGTCGGCACACCACCTGTGTGAGCAATCCCTACATCACCAACACGTTACCTGGCTTAAACAGTTAGAGGAAGTATTGTAAAGCACTGAAATGATCATTCTGATTAAGGGAAGACAACTATAAATGAAACCTGCTTTGCTGATCTGCAAGAATTCTTTCCAACAAATGCAAACAGGCAGTTCCAGGCATGACTTCTGCTGGATTGTCTCCTTTTGCTCTGTGCCTGGCAAGGTCATGGA